ACGGGGGCGACCTTAGAAAATCGACAAATGCGACCAAGTTGGCTTCTAAAGTTGATACTGTAAAATTTTGGATGAAAGCATATAATAATAATTTTTTGCGTAAAAATAGTAACCTTAAACAAGCCCAAATTTTAAATGCACAAATATTGTATACTTTATTTTCTAAAATTTTCTCAAAATGTAACGGGTGCGACATTTGAATATTTTATCTAGTATTGAAACTCTTCCATATTTATTTTGAATGTTAGCTTCTTAGCATCACAATGTACGAATATTTTAAGGTTATAAATTAAGTCCCAATTAAACTATTTGACTTCATATACAGTGAGACCCATTTGTTTGCGACTCACCCCTGTAAAATCTTTATTTATTGTTCGATTTTAACCGGATTTGTTTTAGAGTGTAGATCTTAATAAACTGTATTTTTGGAGCAAAAGAGCTATATTAATACAAAATACAAGGCCTACTATGTCAGTTTTTAAGAGTAAATTTTTAAGAATTCATATTAGCGATTTTTTTAAACAAAATATAAGCACGGCACTGGATTCACCACCCCTCAAAACTATCCTATACTAAATTTTATTGAAAAATTTTAAGAAAAAAAATGTACAAAAATAACTACAAAAATTTATTTTGTCAAGTTATCCATGAAAAAAACATTGAAATAAAATTAAACTAATATTAACATGGTACTATTACTAAAAGTTTAATTTTATTTCAATGTTTTTTCATGGATAACTTGACAAAATAAATTTGTGTAGTTATTATTCTGCATTTTTTTTCTTAACATTTTTTAATAAAAATTAATTTAGGGTACTTTTGAGGGGTAGTGAATCCAGTGCCGTGCTTAGATTTTGTTTAAAAAAATCGCTAATATGAATTCTTAAAAATTTACTCTTAAAAACTGACATAGTAGGCCTTGTATTTTGTATTAATATGGCGTCTTTTGCTCCAAAAATACAGTTTATCAAGATCTACACTTTAAAACAAATCCGGTTAAAATCGCACAATAAATAAAGATTTTACAGGGGTGAGTCGCAAACAAATGGGTCACACTGTATAGTTGTTATTTTATTAAATAACACATCTAATTTTTTGTAGAAGGTGGGGTAAGGTTTCGTAGAAATACCCTTAATGTATTTTATATTTAAAATTAATATTTTTTATTTATTTTATGATATTATTATTATAGTGTATTGAACAAATAAGTATATCGGCATAGCCATGGGCGGAGACAGGGGAGGGGCAGATGACCCCCCTGAAAGGCCTAAAATATTGTAATGGACACTACTAAATTGTTTGAGTTTGAAAATCAGTGATATAAAATATTGTCCGGATTCTTTTGCTCCCCCCTTCTAAAAATTCTGACTACGCCCATGTGCGAATTATGCTAGTCAAGAATATCACATATTCTTTTAAAGTAAATATTTATCTTACTTAGGGCCGGTTTATCAATCTTTAGTTAAGTTCCAGTTAGTCTATCTGACAGTTAAATTTCATATCGATCGTTGTGAGAACAATGGTATTCATGGAAATTATCTAACAGATAAGTAACTGCAACTTTAACTGGACATTGATAAACCGGCCCTTAGGCAGGTCTATTATAATTGGTTTTGTCATTCCCATTCATGACCGATGGTCAGAGTGTTATTTGCGATTTTTTTTCTATTAATTTAAAGCAACTAATACCATAATAACTATAGCTATTTCACTCAGATGTTTCAAACGATTTAGTCTTTATAGAGCCTGGTTAAATCAGTTTGGGACACTTATAATTATAAAATATAAAGTAAAGCAATTCCCATGGAATACTAATCGTATTTATGACATAATAAAAGGGTGGCAGGAATTAAAAGCGAATAAATTAAGAAAAAACGTTGCTCAATTTAACGGTTGTGATTTTTTGGGAAAACGGAAAGGGTGTACCTGTGCAAGAGGAAGTGCACCTTACTCATCGAAGTGTAAAGGATTAGGTGTCAGGTGGCCAGTTTTTTACCCTATCATACTAAGCACATATATACTATAAGCATTTAAAAACCCGTTTTAGCACTTAAGTAAGCAAATTCAAATACAAAACAAGAATTCTTTAAGAATGCAGTTTAATACTATGTCAACATTTATAGTTTGTATTTTTTTTTGTAAATGTTGACCAAAATACTTAAATATTTTAGGTATGTAAAGTTGACGTTTAACTTGGATTTGTTATTTATAACAACCAACGGTCATCGGTCATATCTTCAAAGATAATAGTCTATGGAAAGTACGATTTTCTAAAATAAGACACAAACATTTCACGATGATCGTCTTATATTTCAAAAATAAATTATTTGTGCGGAAAACATTAAGTTGCGAAATTCTTGCAATTTAATTGTTGTTTTGTTGTTACATGTAAAACTGGTTAGTTTTTAAAGGCACCTTGTCAACAATTGTTTGAATTGTTTCTAAAAAAAGGACTTATTTATGACCCAAAAGTTAAATAAACAGTTTTTGTTGTTATAAACTTCAGTAGAAAAATATGTGGGCTTAAAACGGTTGCTATACAAGGATCTACAGCGAGCTGAAGTTTACATGGTTGACATAGTATTTTCTGACAGTTTGTGTAAAAAAATTAAACTTTCATTAATTAAATTACATACATTTGTTAAAATTAACAAATTTTAACTTTTTATTTTTAAAATGTCCTTAGAAATTGTTGTATATTCTTTTATATTAATAAATAGCCTAAAAACTACTGGTGAGAAAAGAATGCAATAACCCTCTTTTTCCTCACCACATGTATCGTAATTTTTGGGACATTCTGTATAATCCTTGGAAGATTTTGTTTTGCAAAATTTATACAATTATGCGACTGAGAGTCGTTTTGTGCTTTGCTCAATTATAGGCATCCGCTACGCGCCGGCATTCAACCTTTGAGCTCAGAGCAAAAAGACTTACTTCTCAGCCTTACCTATAACATAAAAAGCTATTATCTTCAAGCTTTCTATAAGTTTTATTATTATTTATTTTTAACGCTTACTACTATGGTATTCGTTTATCTTCTAGTCTGTACAAATTCAGACCAATCAGGTGAAGTTTTTACATCCTAGTCTGTAAAAAAGCCATTAAGACCAATAAAAAAAAATCGATAACTGCTGACAGTTCTAAAGCTATCTAACCTCACACACCTCCTAAGGATTATTGTTATTATATTTGTTTCAGTTTGAGCTCAGCACAAATAGAATCCAAAAAACCTCCTAGTCTGTAAAAATTACCAATCGGGTAAAGTTTTTTACCTCCCAGTCGGTAAAACCGTTTGGACCAATTAAAAAATTCGACTACTGTCAGATCGAATCTAACCTCACTTTATACTTTTAATAACTACTATAATTGTACGTTTTTTGTATACGCTAAAGAAGTATCGCTAGTAGCGCCACCATTCGGCTGTTATCATCGTAACAAAAGTTCGACTTTTAATAATCAGCTGTCAAACGCTTATGTTACAAACAAGTGTTTTTGAGAATAAAGCCGGAAAATGTTAAAAAATATCGAAAAAGAAACCGTGGCTCGATTTGTTGTGTTGTTGGGTGCATTTCGAGAGGAAATCCTGGGTTAAGTTTTTACCGGTTTTCCAATAAACAGTTTGTTAATCTGAATGAAGAAATAAATTTCATACAGTCTCTGTAAATATAAATTGTACCTAAGAGATACAATAAATACACATTTTAGTAGTGATTAACGTGAAACGACAAATAAGTCGTCTAAATTTAAACAGCATTTAGCAATATTAAAAGCGTCGACTCTTAGTCTCCACTCAACGGTAAAATGCCATTATATTATGTATTATATATAATATTATGTTGCCATGAATTCGTAGGTATATTTTATTGTTTAAAATGCAGTTGTCGGCGTTTCTTAGAGAATCCTTTGGCAAAACAGGAAAATGCAACGATTTAGTTCTTGAATTTTATTTACAATTAAAAACACAATAATTCACCATAAAATATAAATATAAGCATTTAATATAAAATATATATAAGCATTTAAGCTTTGAGTTTCTTAATCAATGATATAAAGAATAATCAATCGAAATCGAGTACTAAACCAGTTTTTTAATTTTTCCCTTGCAACGTAAAACACAAATATCGTTCGCTATTTAGCTGTGCAATTGAACAAAATTTGTCCAGTAAGACTTATGCCTTCCTTTGTTTTGTGAAAAAACTACCTATTTATTTAAAAATGATGTACAGTTCGTATGCTTTAAATGTATTGTTGACAATTCTTAAATTCACGCAATGCTTTTGAAGTCCACCAGATGGCGCGCACGTTGCGAAAACCCGATACTTCTTTAGCGTATTGTTTAAAAAGAAAAAAAGGTTTTTTAATTATATAATATAATAATGTTTATATTTATTTAGTCTGTTAATTAAATTTTGTTGTTCTCAACATTCGACACTAAAGTAATTAATTCATTATTTACCGCGTTTGGTCCAACATAAAATTCGATATTTATCAGATCTATCTAACCCCACTCTACTTTTAATTCATTTATCGTTTAATGAATAAAATTTTGCCCTATTTTATAGACTGATTGAAGATAAAATGTGGTATCATACAACGTGTATGTCTTTTGGCCAAAGAGACTCACTTTTTGGCCTAATGACATAAATAACTTTTTTATTGCTCTATTGTATATTAATATAATGAAAAATAAAACTTATAAATTAAATTACACATTTATGTTGTAGCTAAAACAATGCATAAGATTATATTGTAATAAATAGTTTTAACTCTTTAAAAACACATTTTTATGAGATTTTTTTAAATGGCATTGATATATAATAGTATATTTATGGGTAATTAAAATTAATCTCAACCATAAAAATGTATTGTTTTAAACATCCATTAAAACGCCAATCCCTCTTGCATGCCTTTTAGCGCCAATTAAAATAATTTATAGAACGACAGTTAAAATAAATAAACGCGCATCAATTAAGGTTTTGACGGCTTTAAATAAAACTTACCGGTGCTAGGGAGCATTTAGAAACGCATTGGTACTCGATTTCGCTGTCTAGATGTTCAAAATTGGCATAACTCCGACTCACTAGTTGTAAACACAAAACAACCACACACAATAGTTTCATTTTCGTAATGTTTTGTTATGACGAATAAGGCATTTTAAAGTGTTTCGTTGGGCACTGACACAACAACATCGACGACAAAAAACTGTTCGAAATTTTGGCGCACTAAAGTGATTTGAATGAAGGCGGCGCGCGACTCGATGGCTGAGCTTGACTCGGTGGTAGGAATCGGACTAAGTCAGAAAGAGTAGGCGATTGCCGCTAACCCCACTATAGCCGTGGCAAGTGCATGAATGAAAAATAATTACGTACTAAACAAAGCTTATAACCATTTCCGTTGTTTAATAATTAGTTTCGTTTAGGTCCTATTTATTTTTTTCTATAATTTACCGGTACAGCTTCGACACATCCCTTAGCAAGCCTTCGTTTCCGGTCAAAGGGCCGATACAAAGTGACGGGTTTATTTAATTAGATTTGGACTTAATCACGGACACGATGACAAAAACTACGGGCTGTCTTAATTAGTTTAAGCGGGGTCTTATTTTTGTGTGTATTTATTTAAGAGTCATTCCAAATAAAAACACCAAATGGGGTGCGCTGCTTGATTTTTTATTTTGATAAAAAAAATTGAGGATGATCTTTTAGGTATCAAATATGAAAATCCGTTGCCGTTTTAATTTTTGGATTCTTTACTTTTAATCGGCACCCTTTAGAAATCTGAAATCGTGTCAGTTTCTTACTCTGTTATAGTGGGCCAGAACTTTTTTCTGTGACAAATATTGAAATGATTTTAATTTTGCTTTACTGTTCAGTAAGTGTGTTTTCGACATAAATTAATATTATGCAATTAGTTAATCTCATAAAAGAATAGTAAACCACTAAAGATTTATGATAATTTACCAATTTTTGTGATTTTTGTCTGGCTCCTGTGCCTATTCTACTAAATCTAGAAAGTTATTTTTTTCAGGTATCAAGTACTTATACAATAGAAAACGTAACTATTATTTTAAGTTTCTAGATTATCATTTTCTTTATTAAAAAAATTATTGAAACTTAATAGTTCTTAAAATTAGTCAATTTTGCCCTCAGAAATCATTATGTTAAGGAAAAAATAAAAATCTGAAACTTTCAGGAAATGTACTCCCCACCTTCATCTTTTCAGTCCAGTTAGTCTTGTTTTGTTTTTTTTATTCCTTTGAAAGATATATTAATTTTTGTAATGCCCGTTTAGTAGCGATACTGTTACGTTTTATTTATAATTTAAAATGATATCTGAAAAAAAGCAACTTTCTAGATTTAGCAGAATAGGCACAGGAGCCAGACAAAAATCACAAAAATTGGCAAATTATTACAAATCTTTATAGTCCAAGATCCCAGGGCCGCCAGACCTACGTCATTTTAATACTGCTGAGATTTTTTTAATAAATGCCCTAATATGTAGTTAAAAACGTATGGGTACTTGCTAGCTTGAAAGCGGGGCCCTTTTACAGATAACGGGCACTAAAGGTACATAAAAAAGGTACCTGTCTACGTTAAAGTAATACCGCTGGTTTTCATATATGTTTTACACATTGTTATTAAAAACCAACATTCATTATTGCCAGACGCTTTCCAGGGGACCTAACTTCCGCCAGACGCTTTAAAGCTCAAGAAAAAAGGGCTGAACCTACGTTATAGTAGTACCTCAATGGTAGTACTCCTGAATTTTATATATATTATTTGAGTGACTATTTTCTGATCTTTTGTAAGCAGCCAGATCAATCCGAAGGGCCTAAGCCCCCCCCAGACGCTTTAAAGCTCAATAAAAATGGAAAAATCTACGTATTAATCTTTCTTACATATTTTATTTGGGTGATTATATTAACACCTTTTGTAAGCAGCCAGACCAATCCGAAGGGCCTAAGCCCCCTGAATATTTTATATATTATTATTATATATTTATTATTATATATTTATTATTATATATTTTAAGACTTTTTGTAACTTCCCAGACCATTCCAAAGGGCCTAACCACGCCCAGACACGATAAAAGGTACGCTGTGAGTACGAGAGCAAGGCATGCATGTGAGTGCGAGTGATAGTATTAGATCATCTAATTTAGATGGCTTTATTAGACAGCTTCATGAAATTTTTTAATAATGACTTAATAATATTTAAATTCTTGTTATAAAATTAGTTTTAATTAAATTATTCAAAATTTCAAAAAATTTCAAAATTTCAAAGATTTTCAAAATTTTCAGGATATCCAAAATTTTGAAAATTTCAATTTTTTTTAAATATTTTCCAAAATTTTCATAATTCCCACACTAAACTTGTACCAACCAGGATAAACAATGGCACTTAACGGTGTTAAAATAGCCACCCAAATAATATATATACATAATACAATATTACAGCCTATGATCTTATAAGGTATACTTTTTATCGTGTCTGAGGGGGTTAAGCCCTTCGTATTAATCTGGCTGCTTATAAAAAGTCCTAAAATAGTCACCCAAATAATTTATATAAAATTATAAAATTCAGGAGTACCACTATAACGTAGGTTCCCCCCTTTTTCCTTGACCTTTAAAGCGTCTGGGGGGCTTGGGCCCCTCGGATGAGTCTGGCTGCTTATAAAAGGTCTTAAAATAGTCAACAAAATAAAATATGTAAAATTCAGGAGTACTACAAAAACGTAGTTTCCCCCATTTTTTCTTGACCTTTAAAAGGTCTGGGGGGGCTTGGGCCCGTCGGATTGGTCTGGTTGCTTATAAAAAGTCTTAAAATAGTCACCCAAATAAAAAAAGTTAAATTCAGGATTAGTACTATAACGTAGGTTCCTTTGTTTTTTCTCGAGCTTTAAAGCGTCTGGGGGGGCTTAGGCCCTTGGATTGGTCTGGCTGATTACAAAAGATCTTAAAATAGTATATATAAAATTTAGGAGTACTGCTATAACGAAGGTTCCCCATTTTTTCTTGACCTTTAAAGCGTCTGGGGGGGGGCTGGGGCCCCTCGGATTGGTCTGGCTGCTTATAAAAGGTCTTAAAATAGCCAACCAAATAAAATATGTAAAATTCAGGAGTACTACTAAAACGTAGGTTCCCCCCTTTTTTCCTTGACCTTTAAAGCGTCTGGGGGGGGCTTGGGCCCCTCGGATTGGTCTGGCTGCTTATAAAAGGTCTTAAAATAGTCAACCAAATAAAATATGTAAAATTCAGGAGTACTACTATAACGTAGGTTCCCCCCTTTTTTCTTGACCTTTAATGCGTCTGGGGGGGCTTGGGCCCCTCGGATTGGTCTGGCTGCTTACAAAAGGTCTTAAAATAATCACTCAAAAAATATATGTAAAATTCAGGAGTACTACTATAACGTAGGTTCAGCCCTTTTTTCTTGAGCTTTAAAGCGTCTGGCGGAAGTTAGGTCCCCTGGAATGCGTCTGGCAATAATGAATGTTGGTTTTTAATAACAATGTGTAAAACATATATGAAAACCAGCGGTATTACTTTAACGTAGAAAGGTACCTTTTTTATGTACCTTTAGTGCCCGTTATCTGTAAAAGGGCCCCGCTTTCAAGCTAGCAAGTACCCATACGTTTTTAACTACATATTAAGACATTTATTAAAAAAATCTCAGCAGTATTAAAATGACGTAGGTCTGGCAGCTCTGGGATCTTACTCTATTAGTGGTTTACCATTCTTTTATGAGATGAACTAATTAGATAATAATAATTAATATTGAAAACATACTTACTAGGCAGTAAAATAAAATTACAATCATTTCAATAATTGCCACAAAAAAGAAGTTTTAGCCTCTTATAATAGAGTAAGAAAATGACACGATTTCAGGTTTCTAAAGGATGCCTATTAAAAATAAAGCAACTAAAAATTAAAACGGCAACGGTTTTTCATATATGATACCTAAAAGATCATCCTCAAATTTTTTCATTAAAATAAAAATCATGCAGCGCACTTTTAAATTCATTTTTGATGTTTTCATTTGGATAGACTCTTAAGCATATTAGTTACATTTAAAAATAGGCAAATCAAAAGTTTTGTAATAAAAACCAATAATTGGTTTAAGAGATCCCAGATAAATGGCTTAAATGGATTTTCTTTTATTTTAAGCACAAAAGATTTGAAAAATTATTTGTCCCAAATAATATATCTGACAGCCATACATTAATTTGACAAGTAAATAACCTATGGACCAGTGGCGGCTGGATTTTGGGTATACCAATATTTCAGTTATTAGACATGGGACCCACACCAAATGTATAATAGTTTGTAATGACATTAAATAGACAAGTTCGGCGCAAACAGAATTTAAATTGAAGTTTGCGAAAAAAAGTTAGTTTTTCCTGTCGCCTCACCCGCCTCCAGGCCCCCCTATTTAAGATAATTCAAATTAAAGTGCTGCAACTTATTATCTACTATAATTTATCGAAACATTTAAAATTTTATTTAAAAAATCCAAATATTACAGATTTTAATCGATTTTAAATTTTTATTATTTATTTTATTAAAATAAAAAAATATTTAAAATGCTATAAAACCTGTAATATTTAGATTTTTTAAATAAAATTTTAAATTTGTCGATAAATTATAGTAGATAATAAATTGCACCACTTTAATTTGAATTATCTCAAATAGGGGGGCCTGGAGGCGGGTGAGGCGACAGGAAAAACTAACTTTTTTTCGCAAACTTTAATTTAAATTCTGTTTGCGCCGAACTTATTTATTTAATGTCATTATAAACTATTATAAATTTGGTGTGGGTCCCATGTCTAATAACTGAGATATTGGTATACATAAAATCCACCAGCCGCCACTGCTATGGACCATTCCACGTAAAATCGAACACAATAATAGAAAAAACTTTAATATTTTAAATTTTTGTGTAGTTTATTTATAAACTATAGCTATAGGTTAACCACAAATCTGAATAGTAAAGGTTTTACGATAATTATTTACCGAGACATTAATTATTGTTATATTGTCATATTTTGTGTATTTTGGAGTAGATATAAGACTGTAAATGTTGATTAATTATTTAAATAAAAGTATTAATAGTGTAAAATTGGAATACTTAGTACTGCGGCAATCATTTTACTCATTTTACATAAGCGTGTCGTAAGTGTTTGAGGAATTAAAAAATATGTTTGGTCGAGTTAGTGATGACAGCGTAGCGTATAGAAGTATCGGGTTTTCGCAACACGCGCGTCATCTGGTGGACTTCGAATGCATTGCGTGAATTTAAGAATTGTCAACAATAAATTTAAAGCAC